ATTTTTTTTTTTTTTTGTATTTGATTGTTGTTTTCAGTCTGCTGAGAAGAATGCAAGGCCAGTGCAACCACATAACGAAAGAGAGATCCGTCTTTTACTGCCGAACGTGTGACAAAAGTCCACCATTACTAGTACTCTTTTAGAACTATTTTTTTAATTTATAGAAATAAAGAAAGGATGTAGAAAACAAGATTTTATTTGATCGTCTGTCCTGAAATTTCATCAGACGATTGATGGAAGAATATTATGATATTAAAGATCACAATCCAAGCTAGTACGCAAGTGTCCGGAACGCATTGACACAACTAATCAGGATTCGTGTCGCGTAGTGTCCATAAGGAAGAAGCACTTCTACCAAGGATTTCTGCATTCTCAGCGCTCGAACATGAGACTTTCTTGTTGAGGATGAACAAATCCCAACATCTTTCTTGTTGAGAGTGGAGAAATTGTGGTATAAAATGCTTCTACTTTAACGGGCCCTACTTAGCACGAATCCAGATTAGTTGCACCAGTGAATTTCAAATACCTTATTCAAAGATAAATATAGCAAAAACTCTACACTGTTGTCTTAAGCTGCACCATCATAGCAAGAGGTGCAGTCATCAAAATACATTACGTTGCTACCTTTACTCCTTACGCTTTAAACAACTCCAGGACCAACTAATCTAATTCTGAGCCGAGGGTCTATTGGAAACAACATCTCTATCTCCATATGGTAGGGGTAAGGTCTGTGTATACACTACCCTCCCCAGACCCCACTGTGTGATTAAACTGGGTATGTCATTGTTGTTGTTGTTGACGACCATCTAAGTTCATAAGAAATGTTTTTTTGTATTTCCCCTCAGAATGAAAACAAGAGATAATATTTGATGAGAAATATCATGGCTGACATTTGAAAGAATAAGCGAAGAATGTCCCACTGCTCCCTGGTTGCAAGTAATGACCTGTAAAACTAGTCCCCGGAAAAATAAAGGTACAATTATACCAAATGTTGCAGACGTGGGCGTTGAATTCATCATTCCGTGCTTGCCATGAGAAATTTTGAAGCAGATCTCAAATAAGAACCTCATCGGACCATTTCAGTAATATTAGTGCATGAACTGGTGCCTCCTCTTGTCTGCCGCGTATTATAGGATTTGCAACAAGGACATTTATGTGCCACTATATGGAAGTTAACCTCGGATGTTTCTGCACAGTCATTGCAAAGAATCCAAACCTAAACAATTTTCAGAGAAAATCAAATGGAGTATAAGATAAGTTGAATTTCTTGTACCAAATTACAACGGGTCGAACAAACTGGTTTCTTACCATCTTGTTCTGATAAATTTCAGGGATAGGCGTCGAGGCAACCTAGAATTAGAATTGTGGATAAAGCCCGTCAAGTTTAGAAAAAGATTTGAAAACAATGTCAACTAGTGTAATAACTATGTAGTCTGTACCTCCTCGTCCAGTTTCTTCCAAACACGAGACATGTCACAATATGATCTCGAGCAAACAGGACAAGAATACCTGCAAGCACAAAATTGTTAGAATTAAACAGAACACAGTCAAAATCGAGGGGGAAGGGAAGCCTTGGCGTAACTGGTAAAGTTGCTGTCATATGACCAGGAGGTCACAGGTTCGAGCTGTGGAAATATAGCCTCTTGCAAATGCAAGAATACAGGGCAAAGCTGCGCACAATAGACATTCGTGGTCCGGCCTTTCCCCGGACCTCGCGCATAACGGGAACTTAGTGCACTGGGCTGCCATAGTCAAAATCGAGGGAGTGTTGCATTACAGGATCATTATGGAATTTTCTTTTATAGAAAAACATAACAAGTTAAACTTACTGGAAATGTTGTTCCATCTGCATGACACATTCCAGATGCATGGTGTGACCACAAGGCAAGACTGTGATATTTTTTGTTGTATCAAAAATATACTGCATCAAGTGATAAGAATCAAGAAACATTCATTTCATGCTTATCTTCTTAAATCTTTATGTTTCGGATTTTGCCCTTACCTCAAAGCAAACAGGGCAGTTGTGGTGCATTGCTCTTTCTATACAAATATGTGATTCCTTCATCAAATTTGAATAGCAGCATCCTGAAAAAGGGAAGGAAAAGGGTCAAATGTTCCACAATTAATCCACTAATTACAACACAATAAGAGATTTGGCCGCTGGATTAAGTTCTAATTCAAGGTTGAGCATCTTACCACATCTGTCACAGTGAAAGAAATTCTCCTTGCCACCCGTTCTGTTTTCAAATATTTTATGGAGGAAAATGAAAAATAATATATTAGACACAATGCTGTCACGCTTGAGAGATACAATGACACGTGAAGACCTACTGATGCAAGTCGATTGATATGGAGTCTGGTGAAGAAAATTGATAATGCAGAGAAAAAACACTTTGCGACCACACATCAGGCCTATGTCTCAGAGGTTATTGCCGTTGTGTTTATACGAATGTGGTAATTTAGGAAAATGCATTAAAGAACTGATAATGATGTACATCATGAAAAAAGATCTTAACCTGCAGATTCCACATTTATCACAGTGGTATTGATTCTTCGAAACCTAAAGATACAAATCATCTTGTTTAAACATAGTACAAATATTGAGCCAACAGCATAATATTATAGTAGAACTATCTAAAGAGACTTACATCATCATCAAAGAAGTTGCATTTTGAGCAAAAGTAATTTCCCATGCAAACCCCACACTGAATGCAGGTTTGTTGAACCTAAAGGACAATCAGGAACAAAAAGCAAGCTTTGTCACAGCTCAAAAGATACAAAGAAATTAAAGACTTGAATTGATCGAAGGGGAGCCTTGGTGTAACTGGCAAAGTTGCTACCATATGACCAGGAGGTCACGGGTTCGAGCCGTGGAAATAGCCTCTTGCAGAAATGCAGGGTAAGGCTGCGTACAATAGACCTTGTGGTCTGGCCCTTCTCCAGAACCCCCGCATAGCGGAAGCTTAGTGCACCGGGCTACCCTTTAAAGACTTGAATTGATCATCCACTATCGAGGAAACTCACATCCTGTTCCATATTACACAATGAGCAAATAACCTGAAAGACATATATAGAGCAGCATACTCAAATCAGTCAACAGCAAAAGGTCTGACAAACAAGATCACTCACACAATATATAATCAACCCAACAATCAACTATGCCTCAATCCCAAATGAAAATGACATAAAGAAACTTAAACGGCAAAGTTCCAAAAGTACTTTTTCTCTATTTGATCATCATCAGGTGATAAACAAAAGAGCTAGCCGCGTTCAAACAAAGCAAATTTCCAAAAAAAAAAAAAAGATGACCAAACTCATGTCGCACAACAAAGCTCCATATAATTAAAAAAGTCTACCTTTGAACGCTAAAAATGAATTGACCAGAACTTAGATGTGACAATAACAACAACTATACCACAACACGAAGCAAGTTGAGGTCGGTTATATGAATCCTCACTGTCCATGTCACTTCATTTACGCTCATCTCAGTCCAATATTATATAGAATTAAATACTTTCTAAATCACCTACCCTGTATTCATCTCCCCTTTTGAATGAAAGAGAGGGTACCTATTTAAAGAATCCAAGCATAACTACAGAATCTTTATACAACAGAAGAAGGAAAACATTGAAAACTAACCCTTTTTATATTATGGCGAGGAATATCGTGGCGTTTGAGTGGATCAACTTCTAAAGAATTCTGATCAAGGATTATTAAAGCTACCATTAATTCTCACATAACAAAAGATAAAATCAAAATATTTAACTGAATTGGAAAAAAGTTTCTACCTTTGAGTCGTTATGGCAATGCCTGCAATCGAAGATCTCATCACAACAGGGTGCTCTTATTTTGCATCTCCTCCTGTAATGTGAGCACCTATAAGGAATATCAAAAGATTAACAAAAAATAGTGAAAATAAACTTTGAAATTTTTCATAGAATTAACATTTGAAATTTTTCATAGAATTAACAAAGTAAAAAAAAACAGAGAAACTTACCCATAACTCCCAGAATCCATCTCCATCCCTTTAAATTTTAATCAATTCTACTGAACGAAGAAACTTCCTCCAATTGGTACTTAGAATCCCTGAAAAAATCTTAATTATGAGCAAAAATACACAAATTCTTACAGGATTGAAAGTGAACTAAAAATCAGATAAATTCAAACAAAAAAGATTGAAACTGAACTAAATATCAGACCTTTAATATAAAAACAAAATGTACGAATTCAGACATTAAAAAACGGACCTCTAAATATGACAAAAGTATGCAAACTTCAGACCTTTACTTACGGAAAAAAAGGTACAAAAATCCAGGCAGTAAAAAGATTGAAACTGAACTAAGAATCAGACCTTTAAGTAATGGCAAAAGATAAACTGAATTCAGACGTTAAAAAAAGAATATTTAAAACTAAATTAGTAAAAATCATACCTTTAACTGAAAAAGGGATTTAAAACCTTTATTGGATTATAGTAATGTTATGTTGAACTGAGTTTTTTGTGGATAAGAAGAAGAAACTAAAAAGCTGCAATCAAGTGCAATAATAAAAAACAACTTTTTTGTAATTAAAAATAAAAAAAAATACAACCCCCACCTATATATAATGTATAGCCCATAGATTTCCATTGTTGTAGTTAATGCTGCTCGGTGGGCCGGGCCTGAACCGGACCGGACCGGGCCCGCGGTCCTAACGG